ACAGAGGTTGTAGTTCATACCCGATGTAGGTGTAGGCAGGGTGACTGGCGTTACAGAGGTTGTAGTTCATACCCGATGTAGGTGTAGGCAGCAAGACTGACGTTAGAGGTTGTAGTTCATACCCGATGTAGGTGTAGGCAGGGTGACTGACGTTAGAGGTTGTAGTTCATACCCGATGTAGGTGTAGGCAGGGTGACTGACGTTACAGAGGTTGTAGTTCATACCCGATGTAGGTGTAGGCAGGGTGACTGGCGTTACAGAGGCTGTAGTTCATACCCGATGTAGGTGTAGGCAGGGTGACTGGCGTTACAGAGGTTGTAGTTCATACCCGATGTAGGTGTAGGCAGCAAGACTGGACGTTAGAGGTTGTAGTTCATACCCGATGTAGGTGTAGGCAGGGTGACTGGCGTTACAGAGGTTGTAGTTCATACCCGATGTAGGTGTAGGCAGGGTGACTGGCGTTAGAGGTTGTAGTTCATACCTGTTGTAGTTGTAGGCAGGGTGACTGGCGTTACAGAGGTTGTAGTCATACCTGTTGTAGTTGTAGGCAGGGTGACTGGCGTTACAGAGGTTGTAGTCATACCTGTTGTAGTTGTAGGCAGGGTGACTGGCGTTACAGAGGTTGTAGTCATACCTGTTGTAGTTGTAGGCAGGGTGACTGGACGTTAGAGGTTGTAGTTCATACCCGATGTAGGTGTAGGCAGGGTGACTGGCGTTACAGAGGTTGTAGTTCATACCCGATGTAGGTGTAGGCAGGGTGACTGACGTTAGAGGTTGTAGTTCATACCCGATGTAGGTGTAGGCAGGGTGACTGGCGTTACAGAGGTTGTAGTTCATACCCGTTGTAGGTGTAGTTCATACCCGATGTAGGTGTAGGCAGGGTGACTGGCGTTACAGAGGTTGTAGTTCATTGTAGGTGTAGGCAGGGTGACTGGCATGACAGAGGTTGTAGCTCATACCCGATGTAGGTGTAGGCAGGGTGACTGGCGTTACAGAGGTTGTAGTCATACCTGTTGTAGTTGTAGGCAGGGTGACTGGCGTTACAGAGGTTGTAGTCATACCTGTTGTAGTTGTAGGCAAGTTGGCTATCATTACACAGCTTGTAGCCACCTCGTGGTACATGTAGTTAGCAGTACAACTAGCTTTCAGGGAGTGAGTGAGTGAGTTTAGTTTTACGCCCAACTCAACAATATTCCAGCTATATGGCGGCGGTGTGTAAGTAAATGAGTTTGGACCAGACAATCCAGTGATTAACAGCATGAGCATCAATCTATGCAATTGGTTACAACCAAGCCAGCGAGCCTGACCACCCGATCCCGTTAGTCGCCTCTTCCGACAAGCATGGGTTACTGAAGATCAATTCTAACCCGGACCTTCACTAATGCAACTTTAAGAAGATTAAAGCAAACAGCTTTTTCGTTACAGGATGGCTAGCGTTATATAGGTTGTTGTCGATTAAATGAACAAAATTATAAATAAACATTGAAGTCTTGAACATAAGGTAATTTCTTTACTTGTTATAAACAATAAGGAAACGTAATTGTCAACTGTAAGTAGTCAATTACAGAATAACATGTATCATAGTGCGGGTAGCTTCTCAAACATTCAAACATTCGAGTGGAGATCAATCTTTCATTTACTGTTATCACGGGGTAGAGAGAGCAAGTGAAAGCAGGTGCGCATTGAGGATAATGAATTTAGTGCAAGTCAGTTCATGCTGGAGAAACAAAAGCTGTTAAAGTGTACTTCTTCAACGACAAAAAACAGTGAGAGGGCTTGGTTATGGTCGAGCTGCACATGGCGGGATGGTGCAGGGGTTCAGCTGGTGTGTGCTGCAAGGGTCTCGTCACAACGCTGCAATGTCTCGTCAAGTCCCAGGGCAAGTCGGATCACTCTGGGTTGGTTTCACGGATATCGTGTAACGTCGTTTCCAAGATGGCAGCTGAAGAGTTTCATCTCTGTGCTCGCTCATCAGAAGTCTGGTCCAAGAAATTAAACGTCGTTATGGTTACAAGAAGGTTTTAGTTTCAGACAGAGAAGTTCGCACGCCATCACGCACTCTGTCATGCTACCAACCTTCCTTCCCTGGAGATACACGTGTTGCAGTTATAATACACTATAAGTTCTTCAGCTACATTGGTATTCTTTGCAGAGAGAACTATGTCTAAGTGGCTTAAACATTATTACAGCTACATGTCGACTTGAAAGCTTCATATTGGAAGAAAGCTTAAAGTGCCACAGGGTACAATGCGCGACCAGTGGTATGGTGCTGACAAACCACAGTCGGCGGAAACCTGGATCCGAACCGACAACAGCTAGTCATGGCATGATCACCACTTTCCCTTGTGTCTAGTTGAATGAACCTGGATTATTGATTCGTGCACTTGATCTCTTTATACAGCCGGTTCTCGGTACTCGTACTTGAAGGAGGTCCATACATAAACATGCCTCTCACCCTTGTTCCCACAGGCCCCACAACCGGAAGCGGTTTAACAGGGTGTTTATACCTGAGCGTCTGTAGAGACGTCCCTCTATGTAGGGTAGATGACGTCGAGCCTCTATTAAAGAATGTATGCAAAGAATTCAGCTGCATGACGTTCATCAGTATTAATATCTACCACCAACATGGAGTGAGGCAAGGCGCCATTTCGGAACGTACATTGTCAGTTTTGTACCACGACTGTTTGTAATGAGACGAGCCGCCTAGCGTTTGAAGTAATTGATATATTTTGATTTAAAAGATCTTTTTTGAGCATGGGCTTTTTTCAATTCCTTGTTATTGTTTTTCATTTCTAAACAGGAACGTATTTTACAAGAACAACACAGTGCTAAGCTCTGTGGAATAAGATAATATTTCCTTGCGCGACATTCCCAGAGGAAAATAGACAAAAACCGAATGTACTCCATTTTGTTCTGCATGCATCAACAGGAGCTGCCCCAGGAAGTTCAATATGGCCACCTCCTGACTTGGTTCAGGAGTCCAGTAAGTAAGCCAGTGTCCCTGTGAGTGGAAGTGCTTGGCGTTGTCTGTATGGGGGGAGCGGGAGCGACAGGATATAGGTCTTTATGTCGTGTAAGCCCGGAAGTGACCCACCCTGACAAACAAACAGATGGCAGCCATGTTGTCATACGACCCCCAGTCTTCTGAAGCCTTGGGCAGACGGTGTAGACTCACCACCTTCAAGTGTTATATCCATTTTGAGGAGGGGTATTGATCTGACATACTTTCAGTCTCGGTGAGAGTTGTCGAAAAGGAAAAAATATTTTGCGAATGATTCTGTTCATAATCTGTTGTTTCTACTGTGGCAGTGTCTCGTTTCTGCGACGACATTAATACTTGATAGTTTGATACAAAGTTGTGAATATCTCTCTAATATGGGACACTGAAACACCTTATGAGTGCATCCTCGTGCCAAGGGGACGTGTGCAAACACTTGTGTATGGCCACGGGTCAGGAAGAGGGCTTAACCGACACTTTGAGGGTTGTTAGTCATCCTTAAGTACCTGTACCCTTGTCAGGTATGCGGTATACACGGCCAGTTGCGTTAATTGAGATGCTGTACACACAACCAATGAGGTTACTGTCTCGACCTGCAGCAGACTTGTAACGTTTCTCTTTGGTCTGTCATGTTAGTGTAGTTTCTCTTGAGAAAACATTAAGACTGTTTATCAAGAACACAGATGATATTTCTCGAATCCATCTTTGATCGTTGGCTTTTCTATTCTTTTTTATGCTAAATGTATATAATATTTTGGTACTTAGGGCAAAAGGTCACATGGCAACATGTGGATAGATCCTCGAGATACGATGTCACATTCTGGTTAGATAAGCTAAGCTGGGTAAGATGAGGATATACAAGGGGATACAGAAAGATAAACGGAACCTATTGATGCCCCGTCACAACACTTACTGAGACACAGAATTCATCAGGGCCTCGGGCAGACGATAGGTTCGTATGCAGACGACAGACGCTTACTTTGATGATGGGACTGACCGGTCACGTGTCAGGTGGCATCACACAGTGTCACTCAAACACCACCCAATATATCTGGGTCTGTTTCAATGCATATGTATGAGGTTAGACTGGCCATCTGATGTATGTCCGTGTGATATAGAGGTAAACCTGGGGCCATGGCCGTCGACTCTATATTAATGAGCCTGTAAACCTGAATGTATTGTCACGTGCCGAGTAATGCCAAGCTTTGGACATGGTGTTTCTGTTTCTGACGCCATTGCCACATGAATGGCGATGGAATAGCCTTCAGCGCAGTTTGTCGTAGAATGTTATCAGTGTCTCTATTGCGTTAACGCAGCTTATCTCCCTTCAAATATCCATTTGTTTGAGTAACACCTACTTCTACTACGTCCAGAGAAAGATTCAACATTTATTGAATGATGTGTTCATAGAAGAAACTATTGATAAATATCCCTGTGGGTTTCTTTGGTATTGAAATGAAAATGCCCGTTCAACAATCACAGTCTGTTGTCTTGTGCAAAACCAGTTTGTGTGGAAATACACGTGTGTGCGAGCGGGGAAAAGATGAAATCACGTGTGCGGCTTGTTACCGACCGGAAACACCTTTGAGAAACTTGATTCCAACGAGCATGATAAAAGTTAGGATAGGAGGTTATCTGTGTTACACCTGCTGACTTGTCGTGACACACTGCCCACCATGGTGGCTTTTGTGTTCATTCAGCTCTCTGAAATTAATGTCGACAATTATACAGGAAAAAAACGATAAGTCAAATTATCTAATGCAAATATTTCCTGTTTTATTCGTATGTATGCGGAGCAACCTGCATTTACACGACAGGAAATCAATGATTTTTATTGCACATTTATTCCGGAAGTGTAAACCCTGATAAGCTCTACATGTATTTGCTGTGTATCATGCACGTAAATCTCAGTGAAACGGGTTTTATTTGCTCGTCATGGAAATAGTCGATATTAATCTGTTCTCATGACAACTGCTTTAAATGGTTATTTGTATTTTGTTTCAGGGAGGTTTCGCCCGTTGCTATGAGCTACTGGATCTAAACTCCAACAAAATATACGCCGGGAAAATAATTTCTAAAACCAGGATAGCGAAGCCTCACCAGCGTCAGAAGGTAAGAATAATTATAGATATAATCTTCAAGAAACTGGAATGAGGCCTGTCAATGTGAGCTATGTGATTGGACACCTGCTCAAACTGCTTTCCACATGACATAATATCACGAACAAATGACATAATATCACGAACAAATGACATAATATCACGAAAAAAATAATTCCCCAAGTCTCTTTCTCTCGAAACGTTGACAACTTCCGATGCAATGTTAAAAATGCACTGAACACTTTGGCCTTGTAAAATTACACCCCCACCCCCATGACCCCCGTCCCTTCAAAACATTGTGTGTTAGGGCATCATTTTTTTATGTGTTTCACGTAGCCACCGAATTCTGAACATGGGTCGGTCGGTCAGGAAAAACAAACAAACGAAAAGTAAAAATAAACTAAATATAAAGACAAAATTATCTGAATAATGTTCTTGATTCTCATTTATTGTAATTCTTATTACAATTTCTCGCGTTCTCTGGATTTGTGGCAGCGACTGATTATAACATAAACATTTCATACGGTACGTTTTTAGGTTCGAGTCGGCGGTGTACGTGTTGGAATGGGGAAAAAGAGTTTTTTGGGGGGTCAGCAATAAAATTAGAAGGGTTGGTCGGACGATGAGAAACACAAAAAATACCAAATGTTGCCCTAATGCATATGTAACAGATGGACATGGCGTCGTCGTCAATTATTATTGTACTTAAGTGTCATGAAAGTGTCATGTAAGTGTCATGCTTGTTTGAATTGTGGGACCGTCCGATTCATGAATTATTTACTATCTACGTGATACATAAAAAGGGGAAGCTTTTGTTCATGTACGACTTTGTGAGACTTTCACTGACTATTACGTAAGTTGACACTCTCCTTGTGATTTATTTGAAGACATGTTGTAACGTGACACTCAGTAATACATACCATGTTGGTGAGGTATAACCTAGTGTATCGTCCACCCCCGTATATCACGTGTGATTCTCCCGTGTGACGAGACTTATAATACCACGTGTGGTTAAGTCACCTAACTGTGGGTGTGCAGGCAGTGTATTGCCTACATACTTGTACTGATATGAAGCGACCTATATCATTTCAACATTTCACAAATATTTTGAGATCTTGAGGTGGTTGTACTTCAGTATCTGCTCCACGGGATATTATTAGGTGTGTTTCAATGTAACAATAGATGTGCCATTGTGTGTTTATACTGTGACCTCTTCATTGAGAGTTTACAGTGTATAGAGCCTGTATGAATAGGACATATTGAAATATACATGCAGGTAAGCTAGGTATTGCATTACTGTACACTATATATCTGCTTTAACTAAAGAACCCAGTCGCTACATTGCTACCATCATTGGATTAGCTGATTGTATAGCATATACCGAGGTAATTCGGGGGTCAAGTTTTGTGTACATTAACTTTTGCCCTCTCTCACCAATATATATGTATCAGTGGCCTCGTAAACAAACAGTGAAAAGCCCGTTGACCATCTCGTTACTGGAGTCTTAGCTGGATACACACGCACAATACGGTCAGATATACTGGCTGTGTAACTGACCAGCAAAGTGGCCCATTACCATCGAAGAATGGTTGGTTATTGCTCGACATTACAACCAGGATGGAGGCGCCTCGGTCGCGCGGACTGTATACTTGACGTGTACAGATCGCTAGTAGGCGTGTTCTGATTGAAGGAGGGTTTGATGAGACGAAATTATTTCCTTGTTACAAATTGTTATTGCCTTCATATACACCCAGCGGCATGAACTGTACTTTTTCACGACCCTGTCTGAATAAGTAATGTATGTTTATGACAGCCTAACTACGTGGTGAGAGTGTGGCTTTGTGGATATCCGGGCGTATTGAATTTACTGTGTCGAAACAACATTAAAAATGTGTCATTTAAATATTACCTCCGAGTGATACGATATATGGATTGACAAGTTGGCCGGATGGCTCCACCTACCGGGTCACCCTATCAAGATCTACCTGTCTTCCTTCCTGTGGGTAGGCCTGATTTCATGGGGGAGCTGGTGGTCTTTTGGGGTATATACCCTGACCCCAGCCCAGTGATTTGGGTGGCGTAGGGGTCTTAAGAGTCGATGACTCATTTCCGGACAAGCGTCTTTTGACCCACTTTTGAAGGTCAAAGGTGGGAGGTGTGCTGAAACGAAAGAACAATTTTCCGAGTCACAAGCTTTGTTAGTTCGAATTACATACAAATGAAAGAAGTAATTTATGTCTTCATAACTGTATCGCAACAGTAAAAGGTTTTATTGTATATAAAACACAAACCATTCCATTGCAGTATAGACACGCATGTATTCACTTTAAAAATAAATATAGGTAACATTTAGAGCATTGTTGATGAACCTCTGTTGACCTAGAACGAACCCCAACAGCTTGCTTGTAGTTGAGACTATCAAAATATGAACTTCAAGACCTAATAATAAAATTACAACCATCAATCAAGCAGCGTGTCCATGTTTCCCTCTCGACATAACATGTTTCTGGACATTGCTGGATTTTCCTAGCAACAACTCATAAAGGTGATCTTCAAAAACCAAAACGCTGTATACCTTTAAAGGCAGGAGATTATGAACACATCCCTTGATAAGGCCTCTGAGATTTTAAGTGTGAAACTTTGGTCATGCAGCCCTGTATCAAGATGGTTGACCCTACACCTCTGTTAATCCCTACACCCTGGATGACCCCACACTGAGATACCCCCACATTGACATACCCCCACCCCAGGGTGTGTTGGCGTCCACCTGAGTCGTGCCAGCAGCAGACATGCTCGAGTGGGGGTCCCTCACAGCGGGATCAGGTAGTATCTGCCTGGGTGAGTGCTGGTGGAGATCGATACTTGATAGAGAGTAAAGCTACCCCGTCGATATGACTGCACACACGTTGGCAAAGAAACTGCAGAAATCATTCTCTCCGTAGCCGATTTAACAGTTAAATATAGCAGACTGTATCCACAAGGTGCGTGGCCAACGGCATGTACACTGATAAGAAGGTTGCATCTGGTTTGTTGAAATAGCATGAATGGTACATTGGAATCATTGTACATTACAGGCGAGATACGATCAACATATATACTGTCTAACTGTTTCTTCACTGTCCCTGATTTGTCTGGTCTACAATCGAATATTTTCAGATCGTCTTGATAAAGATGGCATATTCCTGATTGCAATTCACTACGACCATAAACAAACTGCCCTCGGGATTCACCATCATTTTTGCTCTCATGCACTGCATTGAACGAAGCCCAAACGTTTATTGATCCTAAGTACCATCACCTTCTTTGTACAACAGACAGTGTATCATTTAACATAATCTTACAACTAAAGGCTTTGCTTTCTGTAACAGGACTGCTAATACGTATCTTCCCCATGACTGGAAGAGTTTTCAGGTTGGTTACCTTGAGGAGAGGAGAGGGGCAATAATACTTGTCAGTGTCTTGTTCAGTAGGTTTGCCAAAGGTCTCATTTCCTTCCATGCATAATGGCAATTGATATCATTCAACAGACAGATTTTTATGGATTTATTCACGGGGTTTGTTTCATTCAGCGACAGGTGTTTGTGTGAAACGGAAGAGAACACGCCCAGAGGAAGTATTGAGAGTGAAGGCAATAAAGACTGGCCCCTGACTGGACAACTACAGCGGCTTGAGCGTTCAGAGTCTTTTGTATGTCACCCTTGAGAGGGACGCTACATATCACTAGGTAGATTACCTGCCTCAGCGGCCAGCGTTATTTCACGTTAAGGGAGTGGGTGCTTCTTCCTTCACCCTTACCCATCGTGATTCCGAGCCTTTCACTGGACAAGATGGCGACTATTGTCGTCTGCATCTAGCTCTGGCCACTCCTAGCCCACGTATGAGGCCAAAAGTACAACTGCTTTGATAACTGAACCGTGACTGGTTTGCGAAGGTGGTTGGATTAAGATATATGCCTTGATGAGCTACTGGCATGTATCTGACGAAGTATATATGGAAGCCTCATGCTGATTGTATCGCCCACATACATCAGGGCTATCTTCCAGCGGCTGTCTGCAGGTGGAGATAACTGAACGACTTCGGGGCTGGGGCCCATCTGTCTTGAGGGCGGTGAGGCGCTGTCTGCACGGGGAGATAACTCCGGGGCATGTCTGATTTGTATGGGAGCGGTGGGACATTGCATTGATTGTTGATTGATTGCTTGTTGTTTGACACTCAGCACTATTCCAGCTATGTGACGGTGGTATGACTAGTCAGACTCCATTATTAACAAACGAGTGATTGACATAGCGAGCACCGATATATGCCGATTGGACACAATGCCACACGTCATAGACATCAGCGAGCCTGATAACCCTATCCTGTTAGTCGACTCTCACAACCAACATGGATTCCTGAAGCCCAGTTCAAAACCGGATCTTCGGGGCCTAGGGAACCGTAACACCTCGTTCATATTCTTATTGATGTCCATAGATGATGTCAACTATCTGATTTATGGTCTATCATATTCGCGACTTGTACTACCCACGCTTCCTGGGGTGAACTGGGGTTATTTGTAATCACGGCGGTAGTGAGACGCACAAAGTGAGCAGGGTTTGATGCTCAAATTCTTTGCTGTGTCAGCTTCCGCCCCGGCCGCAGTGGCTCCAGGACGTGTCCGGCACACAGATAACACACCAAACACACAGATAACACACCAAATGCAAGTTCTGTTTCCACCGTAATTGGGTTGTCCACTGGAATAATGGAGACCAAATTGGATCTTTAGCTTTATCAAATGTTAGTTCAGTCCGCCCCCCGTGGGACCTCCTTTACGTATGTGTGTTGTGGCCACATGAAGGACCAACTCATTGTCCAGCAGACCCGGATGTCCTGCCCCTCCAGTCCAGTAGTCTGTGATCGGGGCTACTTCGGTGGTCATCGGATCCTCGGCAAACTCCGGCTTACGACAAGCACAAACAGCTCGTGCCCGGGGGATGACCGCCCCACACATTTCGAGTAGACGATACGTGCCTC